CTAGAATATTTTCATTTCTCGTTGGCTCCGATATCTGCAGATTGAGTGAAAATTTGTCACAGAGTCTAAGTAGTTCTCTAATCTGTGGTTGGTTAGGTCCCGATAGATTTCCTGGTATAATATTACATTGACATAATTTTTGAAAAAAAGTTGGTGACTGACTAAATTTGTTGTTGGAACTGTAATGCTGTTAATAATATTTGACAAAGAACTAGTTACTGAACGGAAGAAACAATTGTACATTTTATTTAAAAGAACATGTAAGAGATTGCGTTGAACACAGTGAACATACGGAGAACATGACAAGGAACATATAGAACATGCAAGAGAATGCATTGAACACAGTGAGCATACGAGGAAAATGACAAAGAATACATAGAACATGTAAGAGAATGAGATGAACACAGTGAACATGCGGGGAATATGAACATATAGAAAACATGAAAACATGGCAGAGAACATGAATATTGAGTATAAAAGTTGTACAGGGAACATGTGATGAACATGAAAACATAAAAAGAACATGGAGAACATGAATATTGAATATAAAAGTTGAACAGAGAACATATGACGTACATGAAAACATGACAAAGAACACAGTGAACATACGGGAAATGACAAAAACACAGATAAATGGAGAAAACTGGTGAAAAATACGATCTGAACATGCTGTGAACATTTGCAGAACATGGAGTGAACACAGAAAACATGGATGAGAATGCGAAGAACACAGTGAATATAGAGAAAATATACAAATAAAGTAGGATTATTGAAGGTTTGGATAAGATGTGAATGGACGAGATGAAAGGGGAGGTAGGGGGTGAGAAAGTAAAGGGTGTGGGGAGATAAGGGCGAAAGGGAGTTTTGGGAAAGTAAGGGCGGGGGAGGTAAGGGATGAGAATGTAAGGGGGAGGGGAAAAGGTGAAGGGGGAAGGTAAGGGGTGGGAAAGGGTAGGGTGTGACCATTGCTTAGTTGAGTAAACAAAAGATACTGAAGGTAGGGTGCGATCTGACCGCGTGAATATTAGCATGTTGGTGATTATATATATAGCTGAGTACAAAAGGGTATGGAAGGACATGATGACTACTTTGATAGCCCGGAGAGTTTTGATATGAAATAATTTTGATAGACATTGAACTAAGGCAGAGGACATGAGCTGAAACTCAGTAATTTGTTTTGATTTATTTTACAGGAGGTCTGAAATGTAGTTGAGTTTTAAATCTTGGGGGATTTGGGCTGATATAGTGAATTTACAGGAGCGTATTAAGGAATGGGACATATGCTGAAACTGGGTAGCTGCACTGGCCTTATTTACTACATCTGAAATAGCGAAGTTTTAAATTTTAAGGGATTTGGTTTGATACTAAAGGCAACTAAGGCGGAGAACATGAGTTGGAGCTCGGTAATTTGTTTATGATTTATTTTATGGGGGTCTGAAAATGTAGTTGGGGTATTAAATTTTTGGGGATTTGGACTGATAGTAGTGAATTTAAATGAGCGAACTAAGGCAGGGGACGAGAGTTGAAGCTCGGTAATTATTTGGATCTTATTTCCTGTGTCTGAAATAAGGCGGGTTTAAATTTCAGGGACAATGATATGATATTAACAAAGATATGTGAGGGGGTTAAGGCGGGGACAGGAGCTAGAACTTGGTAATTGTGTTTTCTTTACTTACTTAGTTACAAGTATTGTGGGGTTAAATTTCAGGAAAATTGATGGGTTATTAACGAAGATATGCGAGGGAACTAAGGGTGAGGACAAGAGCTGGAGCTTGATAACTAAAGTGTCGTATTGTACTACATTTGAAATAAGACAGTTTAAAATTTCAGGGGGATTGGACTGTTAGTAAAGAACATACGGGAACAAAGTAAGGCGGGAACAGGAGCTAGAGCTTAGTAACTGCGTTGATCTATTTTAATATGTATGAAATATGACTGATTATAACTGGTGTAAAATTGAGCTATTAGTAGCGAAAATATGGTCTTTGAATAATTTTGGTCTGGAAATGGTCTCTGTCAATTTTTTGGTCACAATTGGACTCTGTTAATATTTGAATTTCCTATATAAGAACTCTTTAATAATGCAGGTGTAAGTAAAACTCTAAAATATTTTGGTCTCAAAGTGGACTCTGATTAATTTCTGTCCTAAAAGTGAACTCTAATGAAAATTGGTCTGAGACTGGACTCTGTTAAATTTCGGTCTCAAAATGGACTCTGATGAATCTCGGTTTCAAAGTGAACTCTGACGAATTTCGGTCCTAAGGAGGACTCTGATAAATTTTGCTCCTAAAGTAGTCTCTGACTAATTTTCGGTCTTAAATGGACTCTGACTAATTTCGGATTTCTACTGGACTCTGAATAATGTAGGTCTTTTCACTTGACTCTTACAATATTTGGGTCTAAAATAATATCTGGCTTAAATGGACTCTGAAGAAAATCGGTCTTCATATGGTCTCTGAATAATTTTCGATCTTTACAGGTGAAACAGCCGTATATGGATATAAAATTAAAAGTCATGGCTAAGATGTCTATTTTCCTTAACAAAACTTCTATGACAATATTTTCTTAAAATGGCTGTTTTTCTAAATTTCGGTCATAAACTCGTAAATTAACTTCTATGATAAAATGAACTCTGAAATATTTTCATAAGTGGAACTGTGAAAAATTTTGAATTTTCCCCATAAAAACTCTTTACAAACTTCTATGAAAATATTTTCCCCTTAAGAACTCTTAATAAACTTCTAAGAACACATTCTCCGAAAATGGACTTTTGAAACATTTTGGTCTTTAACTCTGAAAAAAAATGATATGGAAACCCGAAGCGCTAAACACGATTTTTTAAATTAACAGGAAAACCGACAGTCTAAACCCGACTTAAAAAAAAAATGGGGTTTAGACTGTCATCCCTACTACTACTCACTTCAGAATAGGGTGAGTGTGTACCCGAGGAATAGGATGCACTCACATCAGGATAGGGAGTGTGTACCCGATGAACAGGGTGCACTCACATCAGGATAGGGAGTGTGTACCCGATGAACAGGGTGCACTCACATCAGGATAGGGAGTGTGTACCCGATGAACAGGGTGCACTCACATCAGGATAGGTTGGGTGGAGTCATTAGGAAACTTAGAAATAAAGTTTTTAATACATTAAAGCATTTAACAGAGGGCACCGAGACCTCTGGGTGTACTGGGTGTCCGTACCCAGTACACCCAGACCATTTCCCAGATAAATTTGGGTAACGCTATCCTCAAGCGGGCTTCTCATGCTCGTCCCTCCCTTTGGGTGACTTAATCTTCATCAATCAATCAATCCCTCAAGCGCCTGGCCTCGATCTTTGAACAGAGAGACAGACAGACATTCGTATAGATATGAGCACAAAATAAACCACACTGAACATAAACCATTTTTCACCCAAGTATGTTTTCTGATTTACAGACGTCGTCAGATGTGAGCTGAGTGATGGCCGACAGGAGACGAACGAGCAGTCGTAAGTGGGAGAGGGAACGGGAAGTGTTCATGATGGCTTATAGCTTGACCGTCGCAGGGGACTAATCTGTGGCAGTTATAGCTTGACCGTCGCAGGGGACTAACCTGTGGCAGTTATAGCTTGACCGTCGCAGGGGACTAACCTGTGGCAGTTATAACTTGACCGTCGCAGGGGACTAACCTTAGGCAGTTATAATTTGACCGTCGCAGGGGACTAACCTGTGGTATTTATAACTTGACCGAAGCAGGAGACTAACCTATCCTCATAACCCAGGCTCCTGGCCACATATCACAGGTTTCTGTCCTCATATCCCAGGTTCCTGTCTTCATATCCTAGGCTCCTGTCTTCATCTCCCAGGCTTTTGTCTTCATATCCCAGACTCCTGTCTTCATATCCCAGGCTCTTGTCTTCATATCCCAGGCTCTTGTCTTCATATCCCAGGCTCTTGTCTTCATATCCCAGGCTCCTGCTTTCATATCCCAGGCTTCTGTCTTCATATTCCCAGGCTCCTGTCTTCATATCCCAAATCCTGTCTTCATATCTCAGGCTCCTGTCCTCATATCCCAGGTTCCTGTCTTCATATCCCAGGCTCCTGTATTCATATCCCAGACTCCTGTCTTCATATCCCAGGCTCTTGTCTTCATATCCCAGGCTCCTGTATTCATATCCCAGGCTCCTGTCTCTATATCCCAGGCTCCTGTCTTCATATCCCAGGCTCCTGTCCTCATATCCCAGTCTCCTGTCTTCATATCCCAGGCTCCTGTCCTCATATCCCAGGTTCCTCTCCTTATACTCCTGCTCCTTGTCCTTATATCTCAGCTCCTTGTCCTTATATCTCAGCTCCTTATCTTCCTATTCGTTTCAAGGGCATTACAGTCATACTGGCTTAGCACTTACTCATAATTTCCATTATATATCTCATTCTCCTCTTTATGTTAATATCTCTCAATGTTTGTGTGTGGAACGAGTCACGCAGAGCGGATATCCACTTTAGATAACTAAAAAATGTCAACCGGATGAGTAAGCGCCACCATGACAGTGTGAGGAGGGGGGGGGGAGAGGACATGTGGGTGGGGCACCACGCTGGAGGATGGCACAGTAGGAGTCTAGGTGCTGCAGTGGACTCTCCTCGATGGTGGACTGAAGTATAATACAGTAGAAGACTACAGTAGACTCACTTGGATAGTGCAATGAACGTCTGGATGTTAAAGTGAACGTCGGGATATTAAAGTGAACGTCTGGATACTAAAGTGAACGTCTGGATATTGAAGTGAAAGTCTGGATATTAAAATGAACGTTTGGATATTAAAGTGATCACCGGGATATTACAAGGAACGTTTGGATAATCAAGTGTGCATTTGGATATTAAATGAACGTCTCGATATAGCAGTGAACGTCTGGATATAACAGTGAACCTCTGGATATAACAGTGAACGTCTGGATATAACAGTGAACCTCTGGATATATCAGTGAACCTCTGGATATAAGAGTGAACGTCTGGATATAACAGTGAACCTCTGGATATATCAGTGAACCTCTGGATATAAGAGTGAACGTCTGGATATAACAGTGAACCTCTGGATATCAACGTGTACGCTTGGGGTCCACATTTTCCATCTAAGTAGGATAGTTTGAACCGTGTTGGAGACGTCATGATTCAATAGTTGCTCGCAGATATACAAACTGGGCACCAGAATAGTGGCGTGGATTCTGTATACTGAAGAGCACGTCTAGATAGTTAAGTGCGTATTACGCTTAGTGATAGCTAGCGAATTAAGCTGCCGGAGAGAGAGAGAATTTGTCTCAGGTATAACGAACTGTATAACTAAGAAGACTCGGGATTGCCGACGGGAAGCACGGACAGTGATGTGAAGCAACACAGAACAGACAAGTATTCGCCAAGAAATGGGAAAATATCGTGGGTATTGTCAACTAAACTATTGATTAATACAGTTGGCAAAGGTAGCGATCGCAGCTGTAGTGAAGTTGACAGAGATAGTGAAGGTGAAAAAGATAGTGAAGGTGACAGAGATATTGAAGGTGACCAAGAGATTGAAGGTGACAGAGATAGTTAACACGAGGAAAACGACAGTGAAATAGTCTACAAAATGATTATCTCTGTGATACTTGTTTCTCTTCTTCTGAAGCTCATCACAGCAAATGAAGGTAATGAGAGAGAGAGAGGGGGAGAGAGAGAGAGGGGAGAGAGAGAGAGAGGGGGAGAGAGAGAGAGGGGGAGAGAGAGAGAGAGAGAGAGAGAGAGAGAGAGAGAGAGAGAGAGAGAGAGAGAGAGAGAGAGAGAGAGAGAGAGAGAGAGAGAGAGAGAGAGAGAGAGAGAGAGAGAGAGAGAGAGAGAGAGAGAGAGAGAGAGAGAGAGAGAGAGAGAGAGAGAGAGAGAGAGAGAGAGAGAGAGAGAGAGAGAGAGAGAGAGAGAGAGAGAGAGAGAGAGAGAGAGAGAGAGAGAGAGAGAGAGAGAGAGAGAGAGAGAGAGAGAGAGAGAGAGAGAGAGAGAGAGAGAGAGAGAGAGAGAGAGAGAGAGAGAGAGAGAGAGAGAGAGAGAGAGAGAGAGAGAGAGAGAGAGAGAGAGAGAGAGAGAGTGCTAAACATGTCCTCATACTGTTTTTTTTAGGATTTCAGTAATTTCTTTGTCATCCTCAGTGTATGAACCTTCACTAATACGAATAAGTCCAATACTGGCAGTGGTTTTCGCGTTTGATTTAGCATATGTGAGGAAATATTTTGGGTTTTTCTTTATATCTTGAATTGCTTTCTGTTCTAGTTGCCTTTCTTCAGTCGGATAGGAATGCTTCAGTCTCTGTTCGATTTCTTCAATCTCCTTGTTTAAATTATTTCTTCTTTGTATTAAGAGTCGTGTCTGCTTAAGCATTTCCGTTAATTTCTTCCTCCTTTTGTAATGTCGTCTGCGTTTTCTTTCTACATTGGACCTCTTTCTGGCTTTCCTCAAAGGAACATGTTTCAGACAGACTTCATATGCTTCAGAAGTCAGTTTTTCTATTCCTTGTGTAGGATTTTTATTTCTTAGAACATCGTCTCCTCCTCCTTAGAGGAGAAGACGACGACGTTTCGGTCCGTCCTGGGTCTTTATCAAGTCGATTGTGTACAAGCACAAACGACTTGATAATGGTCGAGGACGGACCGAAACGTATTCGTCTCCTTATCTTTTGGTTTGTGGTTTGGTCATAATATCTCCAGCCACGATGTTGTGACTCTTCGCCTACAGTCACTATTATTACCATTATAACCGCCTTAATCATCACCATCTTGTCCAATGGTTATATGCTCCATAACCCACCAGATGACCCATGTTGACATCCACCATGACCTATCAGATGATCCATATTACCTCCAGAGAACTGTGGGCCGTCCATCCGAGGTCAGTACCTACACTACGACGTGAGCTCTGACCCAGACTTCCAGCTGTGGCTTAAGATGACACGAAAGAACACTTGGGTATATATGAGAGTCGAGACAGTGGCCAGCCATAGACCTCAGGTGTTGTCTCGTAACACTTTGTATGTCCTGTCTAACACAGAGGAATATAGGCGCTTTCCAAATGCTAACTACAGGGTAAGTTTTATCCTCGCTTGTTATTGTGCAACCCGTTCTCGCAAATTCGTAAAGTCAATATTGACTTATTAACTACGTGCATAGGTGATATACTAAACATAATATACCCTTAAAAAGATTCATAGAAAACACCAACCTTACCTAACCTTGTTAGTATCTTAAGATAAGCATCTTATTGCTTCGTAATTGCAATTATTACTTAACCTATACCAATTATAGGTAACGTAATAATTGTAATTACGAAGCAATAAGATGCTTATCTTAACATACTAAGTAGGTTAGGTAAGGTTGATGTTTTCTATGAGTCTTTTTAAGGGTATCTATTATGTTAAGTATGTCACCTATGCACATATTTAATAAGTCAATATTGTCTTATTAAATTTGCGAGAACGGGTTGAATTGTGAGAGGCTGGTCACATAATTATCTACTGACTGCACAGTTAAGAGTCCCGGCATTGTTGTCTGTTGGAGCCTTCAACTTATATTATCATAAATAAATCGATTGTTAGGATTAAATATTACAGAAAACATAAAATCTGACCATTCAAGCTTGACGCACAAATTATACTCGCGTGTCCCCAGCATGATGAAGTGATTTGATGCAATATCTGTGCCCAAATGGCCACCGAGAGTGGTCGGGAATTGGGTTAAGGATCAGGCGACTTCCCATTCTTTTTTACAGTTAGTGTGATCAGTGAGCAGTGAGAGAGCAGTGAGCCATTGCTGTCTGTGTACGAATCCTTCATAGGGGAAAGAGCTTATATATATATATATATATATATATATATATATATATATATATATATATATGTCGTACCTAGTAGCCAGAACGTCGTACTCGGCTTGCTATGCAAGGCCCGATTTGCCTAATAAGCCAAGTTTTCCTGAATTAATATATTTTCTCTGTTTTTTTTCTTATGAAATGATAAAGCTACCCATTTCATTATGTATGAGGTCATTTTTTTTTTTATTGGAGTTAAAATTAACATAGATATATGACCGAACCTAACCAACCCTACCTAACCTAACCTAACCTATCTTTATAGGTTAGGTTAGGTAGCCGAAAAAGTTAAGTTAGGTTAGGTTAGGTAGGTTAGGTAGTCGAAAAATAATTAATTCATGAAAACTTGGATTATTAGGCAAATCGGGCCTTGCATAGCAGGCTGAGAAGTGCGTTCTGGCTACTATGTACGACATATATATATATATATATATACATATATATATATATATATATATATATATATATATATATATATATACTATATATATATATATATATATATATATATATATATATATATATATATATATATATATATATTATATCTACATTTGAGTGAGGTGGGAAGGGTGATGTGGCATTAACACAAGACAGAACAGGAGGGGATATTAATAGGGTATTAAAAGTATCAACACAAGACAGAACAGAAACAATGGATATTGAATAGAAGTGTTTGTAGAAAGCCTATTGGCCCATATTTCTTGATGCTTCTATATTGGAGCGGAGTCTTGAGGTGGGTAGAATATAGTTGTGCAATAATTGGCTGTTGATTGCTGGTGTTGACTTCTTGATGTGTAGTGCCTCGCAAACGTCAAGCCGCCTGCTATCGCTGTATCTATCGATGATTTCTGTGTTGTTTACTGTATCTATCATCGATAGATACAGCGATAGCAGGCGGCTTGACGTTTGCGAGGCACTACACATCAAGAAGTCAACACCAGCAATCAACAGCCAATTATTGCACAACTATATTCTACCCACCTCAAGACTCCGCTCCAATATAGAAGCATCAAGAAATATGGACCAATAGGCTTTCTACAAACACTTCTATTCAATACCCATTGTTTCTGTTCTGTCTTGTGTTGATACTTTTAATACCCTATTAATATCCCCTCCTGTTCTGTCTTGTGTTAATGCCACATCACCCTTCCCACCTCACTCAAATGTAGATATAATATCAGAGAGACGTAAGTTCTAATCAGTTATATATATATATATATATATACACTTGAACGCGTTTCGTAATAACTTATTACATTTTCAAAGACTTTAGTTTACACACACACAACTCTAACCTGCAAACACTAAACAGAGTTCAAACAGCTTTCATTTTATACCTGCATTTGGGTGAGGTGATTTGTTACAACAGTTTTGGATGAGGTGAAAACAAACATTCAACACAAGACAGAACACGAAACAGTGGGTATAATATTGGGTAAGTTGAAGGGAAGAATGGAAGTAACTGCATAGGGCCTATTGGCCCATATTTATTGATGCTTCTATATTGGTGCGGAGTCTTGAATTGGGTAGAATATAGTTGTGCATTAATTAGCTGTTGATTGCTGGTGTTGACTTCTTAATGTGTAGTGCCTCGCAGATATCAAGCCGTCTGCTATCACTGTATCTATCGATGATTTCCGTGTTTTTTGTTAATTCTTCTCTGGTGATGGTCTGGTTGTGGGAAGAGATTATATGTTCCTTAATGGAGCCCTATTGCTTATGCATCGTTAATTTATGCTTAAAACATGTGGCGCTTTTACTTCAGGCACCAAATGTCTCTGTGGTAATGGGGACAAAATTACATTGTCCCCATTACCACATCTTTATACGTTCAAAACTTGGCTGAGTCGCTGTGGGTGGTAGCACCATCTGCTTATGCAACCCTAAATCAATGGATATGTTATCCAATATTGATATGTTGCACATAAACTGTCTACCATTCTTTCAAGGGTTCACTGCAATCTCATCTGGGCGGCCAACAGGCTCGTCAGTTACAGTGCGTTTGATTATAGGGATCTCTATCTGCTCGACAACCATCTATGGTAAGGCTCCTCTTAATGATGTCATTAACTTCGCAGACATCTTGAGTGCCATCCCCCCCCCCTGTACATCGGCACAGCAGACCATGTTGCCGCACCTGTCAGCTACTGCCTCACCACATATATAAACCCATATTAAGTGTGGATTGGGGCCACAAATCGGAAAGCCCCTGTGATTTGGAAGGCCTGTGGGGTTTCTAATAGAAACTCGCCAATATAGGGAGCTGCATGGATCTGAGGAGAGCAATGTTACAGAGTGTGTGTGTTGATGCTGTGTCTATAGTCAGGCTTTATATATGGAGTTCGTTTGATGGTTGGGGCTGTAATAGAGACCCACTTAGAGGTTGGAGTCGATCCTATATGTTCTAGTGAGAGGGAGGTAGAGCCTAGTAATGTTCTCCTCACTAAATCTGTGAAGGGTACTTGGCCGAGTCCCAAGAAATTTTCACATGAAACTGAATTCAGAATTAAATGGAAATATATATCTGTTCCAGAAGGGGAAGAGAAAGGGGAATGGTTGGGACCAGAAGGGGATGCAGGGGAGATCGGGGAGGTAAGGTGATGGGATGAAGAGGGGAGAGTTGGAAACAGGAAAATAGGTGAGATAGAAAAGAAGAGAGGAAGGATCAAATGGGTGAGATAGGAGGAAAGAGAGGGAGTGGAGAGAGGAACGCTGGAGGAGCAAGAAAGTTGAGAAAAGAATGGAGGTACGTGGGAGAGCAGGATGTGATGAATAGAGTAGAAAAGAAAGGGAATGAGGAGAGGGAGGGCAGTGACCAAATACCCCGGGCACGGCCGGGTACTGTCTTGTCAACATCAATAGGAGGGAATGGCTTTATGTTTGATAGTTTGGTCATTTGTCAGTCGCAGGTTGAAAAAAAGATCCTTGGGGCTATCCTCATCCTACTTTGCAAAGTGAATGGTTAAGGGCACGGGGCGGAAATAGGCTGGTCAGGAGCAGCTCTATTCGTCCTATTAGACAGTGTCTGGGCGAATAGCCGAATAGCTATTCGCCCTACAACTTATCGGTGAAAGGTGACTAGTGACATTCAGAGATGCCTTAACTTTCCTGAAAGAGAAAGAGAGAGAGAGAGAGAGAGAGAGAGAGAGAGAGAGAGAGAGAGAGAGAGAGAGAGAGAGAGATTTTTTGTATATATCGAAAAATATACAGAATCCATTTGTGTAGCAGTGGCCCTCCGCCTTGATTCCCAAATTCACACTGAATACAAGTGTAATTGCAACAGGGTGGAAGCAGACCAATATAGACTGCATGGGTTGCATTGCGGAAGCACAAAGGGCTGGCATGCGAGACACAACGAGGTCAATGACATCATTAAGAGGAGCCTCGTCTCAGCTCAGTGCCCAGCGGAGAGAGAACCCCGCATCTTAGGAGACCATAACCCGAATTTCCCCGCGCTTCACCCTGATAGCATCACCATATACTTTTGGAAGGGGGCAGACACTTGGTGTGGGACTACACGTGTGTATCCACCCTGGCTGACACCTATGTATACTTCGGTGCTGATCAAGCAGGTGGGGCGGCCAACCACAGGGAAATAGCAAAATCAGTCAAGTACAGGTGACTGGAAGGTCAACACATCTTTGTTCCCATAGCGTCTGGGACGCATGGCCCCTGGGGCAAGAGTGCATTGAGATTTCTCAAAGGAATTGGGCTCCAAGCTCATTGACATCACGAGCTGCCAGTTTTTTGTTTCAGCGCCTCAGAGTGGCGATACAGAGGGGAAACGCTTGTTGCATCCTCAGTTCCCGTCCTGAAGCGGAGGAGCTTCAAGAGATCCATAACCTTTAAGCACTCTTTGTATCAACCAATGTATATCTTGTAACTTTCAAACATATAATAAAGAAAAAATCGAAGGAAGGAGGTGGTAGGAGTAAAGCACACAGAAACTGTATTGGAGGGGATCTAAACATTCCCTCTGATGCGGTATGTGTAGTTTCCTCCGAGGCTAAGGGTCCCCCTTCTTCCAGCCAGACGTGGTACTACCTTCTCTTTTAAATATAAAATAAATCGTTAATTTCTTTTTTGCCTATTTTGTATTTTTAACCGGAATTAATGGAAAACTTCCGTATATAAATATTTACTTTTGTATTATATATATATAATTCCAGAATCTCCATAAAATAAATAGGATAAACAGATTCTACAGCCTGAGCATGTGGAGCAACGCCTCGATGGAATGGATCTTCTGCAAGACTTCTAACAGTTCCCGTAAGTGAAGATGTGTAATTTTTATCTCAAAGCTTGTATAGAAGTTTAACATCTGTGTGATTAGTGTTAAATATTTCTATTTTATTTATTCAGGTGCACCCAGCCTTCCGGCCTGCAACACTACAGATGCACCCAGCCTTCCGGCCTGCAACACGGAAGCGGTGACAGTGTTGGTGGTGCTCGTGGTGGTGGTGCTGGTGTTGTTGGCAGCGGCCATCGCTTACATACACCACCTCAGGAAGACTCTCACTCAATGTAAGCCAATTTATATAAAAAACAAAAATCAGGTAAATCTTGATTTAGTTCCTTTAGCGAATCTAATACAGCTCCATTCATGGACTAGGATTTTCAAGATCAGGGAAGTGATCAATGAGGCTGTTCATTATCGTAACGAGCAACAAGGCTTAAGCACCACAACTCATCAGTGATCCCCACTACCTTAACTCTGGCATTAACGTAAATAAATTGGCTAACCTTATTAGGAATAAAAAAATTGAGTCATCGGGTTTTAAGATTTAATCACATGATAATTTTAAGATAGAAGAACACTGGGATACTAGAGCATGGGACTGCAATACTAGAGCATGGGACTAGGATACTAGAGCAATGGACTGGGATACTAGAGAATGGGACTAGGATACAGGAGCATTTTACTGGGATACTAGAATATGGAGCTGGGATATTAGAGTTTGGGACTGGAATACTAGAGCAATGGACTGGGATACTAGATTATGGGACTGGGATACTACAGCATTTTACTAGGATACTAGAGCATGGGACTGGGATACTAGAGCAAGGGACTGGAAGAGTAGAGCATTAGGCTGGGATACTAGTGTATGGGACTGGGATACTAGATCATGGGACTGGGATACTAGAGCACTGTACTGGGATTTTAGAGCATGAGACCGGGATTCTAGAGCATCTGACTGGGACACTAGAGCATGGATCTGGGATTCTAGAGCATCTGACTGGGATACTAGAGCATGGATCTGGGATAATAGAGCATGGGACTGGAACACTAGAGCATGGGACTGGGATACTAGAACATGGGACTGAGATACTAGAGCATAGAATTGGCTTATTAGAGCATTGTCTGGGATACTAGAGCATGGATCTGGGATACTAGAGCATGGGACTGGGATACTAGAGCATGGGACTGGGATACTAGATCATGAGACTGAGATACTAAATTATGGGACTGGGATAGTAGAGCATGGGGGACTGGGATTCTAGAGCATGGCCTAGGATACTAGAGCCCGGGACTAGGATACTAGAAATTGGGATTGGGATATTAGAGCATGGATCTTTGATGCTATAACATGGGACTGGGGATACTAGAGTAAGGGACTGGGATACTAAAGCATGAGAAAGGAATACATGAGCTTGGGATAGGAATACTTGAGCATGGGTCATGTATACTAGAACATCTGACTTGGATACTAGAGCACGGGACTAGAATACTAGAACATGGGAATGGGATACTAGAGCATGGGTCTTTGATAATATAGCATGGGGCTGGGATACTAGAAGATGGGACTAGAATACTTGAGCATGGGACTGGGATACTAGAACATCTGACTGGGATACTAAGGCATGGAACTGGGATAATATAGCATGGGACTGGGATTCTAGAGCATGGGACTAGGATACTAGAATTTGGGATTTTGATACTAGAGCATGATCTTTGATATTTGAGCATGGGAGTGGGATACTAAAGTATAGGACTAGGATACTAAAGCATGGGACTGGGATGCTAGAGCATGGGACTGAGTTACTAGATAATTGACTGGGATACTAGAGCATGAGACTGGAATACTAGAGCATGGGACTGGGGAACTAGACCATGGGACTCAGATACTAGAGCATGGGACTGGGTTAGTAGAGTATAGGACTGGAATACTACAGCATGGGTCTGGGATTCTAGAGCATATGAACTAGGACACTAGAGTATAGGATTGGGATACTACAACATGGGGTTGGGATACTAGAGGATGAGACTGGGATACTTGAGAATTTTACTTGGATATTAGCACATTGGCCTGGGACACTAGAGCATGGGCGTGGGATAAAATAGTAAGGGACTGGGAAACTAGTGTGTAGGACTTGGATAATAGAGCATGGACAGGGATACTAGAGCATGGACTGGGATACTAGAGCATGGACGGGCAAACTAGTGCATGGGACTGGGATAATGGAGCATTTTAGTGGGATACTAGAGTTTGGGACTGGATTACTGGAGCATGGGTTTTTGATACTACAGAATGGGACTGGGATAGTAGAGTATAGGACTGGGATACTAAAGCAAAGGACTGGAATACATAAACTTGGGACTGGAATACATGAGCATGGGTCTTTTATACTATAACATCTGACTTGGATAATATTGCATGGGACTGGGATACTAATGCATGGCTTTGGGATACTAGAGCATTGGACTGGGGTACTAGAGCATGGTACTTGAATACTAGAGCATTAGACTGGGATACTAGAGCATGGAACTGAGATACTAGAACATTGAACTGGAATACTAGAGCATAGGACTGGTATACTAGGGCATAGAACTGGGGGATACTAGAGCATCTGACTGGGATACTAGAGTATGGGACTGGGATAATAGAGCATGGAACTGGAATACTAGAGTATGGGACTGGGATAAAAGAGCATTTTACTAGGATACTAGAATGTGGAACTGGGATATTAGAGTTTGGGATTGGAATACTAGAGCAATGGACTCGGATACTAGATTATGGGACTGGGATACTAGAGCATTTTACTAGGATACTAGAGCATGGGACTGGGATACTAGAGCAAGGGACTGGAAGAGGAGAGCAATAGGCTGGGATACAAGTGTATGGGACTGGGATACTAGAGCATGGGGCTGGGATACAAGAGCATGGGACTAGGATACTAGAGCATTGATCTGGGACATTAGAGCTTGGGAGTAGGATACCCGTGCATGGCACTGGGATACTGGAGCATGGGTCTGGGATAATAGAGCATGGGTCTGGGATAGTAGTGCATGGGTCTAGGATAATAGAGCATGGGACTGGGATACTAGAGCAGGGAACTGGGATATTAGAGCAGGGGACTGGGATACTAGAACATGGGACTGAGATACTAGAGCATAGTACTGGCTTATTAGATTATTGTCTGGGATACTAGAGCATGGGACTGGGATACTACAGCATGAGACTGGGATACTAGGTCATGAGACTGAGATACTAAATTATGTGATTGGGATACTAGAGCATGGGGAACTGGGATTCTAGATAATAGCCTGGGATACTAGAGCCCGGGACTAGGATACTAATACTTGGGATTGGGATACTAGAGCATGGGTCTTTGATACTATAGCGTGGGACTGGGGATACTAGAGTAAGGGACTGAAATACTAAAGCATGAGAATGGAATACATGAGCTTGGGACAGGAATAATTGAGCATGGGTCATGTATACTAGAACATCTGACTTGGATACTAGAGCATGACTCTGGGATACTAGAGCATGGATCTGGGATACTAGAGCATGGGACTGGGATGCTAGAGCATGGGACTGAGTTACTAGATAATTGACTGGGATACTAGAGCATGAGTCTGGGATACTAGAGCATGGGACTGGGGAAATAGGCTTTGGGACTCAGATACTGGAACATGGGACTGGGGATACTAGAGTATTGGACTGGAATACTAGAGCATGGGTCTGGGATTCTAGAGCATATGGACTAGGACACTAGAGTATAGGATTGGGATACTACAACATGGGGTTGGGATACTAGAGGATGAGACTGGGATTCTTGAGAATTTGACTTGGATAATAGTACATTGGTCTGGGACACTATCTTGAGGTTATCTTGAGATGATTTCGGGGCTTTTAGTGTCCCCGCGGCCCGGTCCTCGACCAGGCCTCCACCCCCAGGCAGCAGCCCGTGACAGCTGACTAACACCCAGGTACCTAATTTACTGCTAGGTAACAGGGGCATAGGGTGAAAGAAACTCTGCCCATTGTTTCTCGCCGGCGCCTGGGATCGAACCCAGGACCACAGGATCACAAGTCCCGCGTGCTATCCTCTCGGTCGACCGGCACTAGAGCATGGGCGTGGGATAAAATAGTAAGGGACTGGGAAACGAGTGTGTAGGACTGGGATACTAGAGCATGGACAGGGATACTAGAGCATGGACTGGGATACTAGAGCATGGACAGGGATACTAGAGCATGGACTGGGATACTAGAGCATGGACGGGCAAACTAGTGCATGGGACTGAGATACTGGAGCATTTTAGTGGGATACTAGAGTTTGGGAATGGATTACTGGAGCATGAGTTTTTGATACTAGAGAATGAGACTGGGATAGTAGAGTATAGGACTGGGATACTAAAGCAAAGGACTGGAATACATAAACTTGGGACTGGAATACTTAAGCATGGGTCTTTTATACTAGAACATCTGACTTGGATAATATTGCATGGGACTGGGATACTAGTGCATGGCTTTGGGATACTAGAGCATAGGACTGGGGTACTAGAGCATGGTAAGTGAATACTAGAGCTTGGGATGGGAAACTAGAGCATGGGACCGGGATACTAGGGCAGGGGACTGGAATTATATGGCACTGTTCTGGGATACTAGAGCATTAGACTGGGATACTAGAGCATGGAACTGGGATACAAGAACATTGAACTGGAATACTAGAGCATGGGACTGGTATACTAGAGCATGGAACTGGGATACTAGAGCATCTGACTTGGATACTAGAGTATGGGACTGAGATCATATAGCATGGGACTGGAAACTAGAGTATTGTACTGGGATAATAGAGCATGAGACTGGAATACTAGAGCATGGGACTAGGATACAAGAGCAATGGACTGGGACACTAGAATATGGGACTAGGATACTAGAGCATTTTACTAGGATACTAGAGCAAGGGGCTGGAAGAGTAGAGCTGGGATACAAGTGTATGCGACAGGGATACTAGATAATGGAACTGGGATACTTGAGCACTGTACTGGAATTTTAGAGCATGGGATCCGGATTCTAGAGCATCTGACTGGGATACTAGAGCATAGAACTTCTTCCAGCATTCTCTTGGATACTAGAGAATGGAACTGGAATACTAGAGCAAAAGACTGGGATACTAGAGCTTGGGATAATATAACTTGGGAATGGGATAATATAACTTGGGAATGGGATACAAGAGCATGGGACTACGATACTAGGCCTTGGGAGTAGGATACCAGTGCATGGCACTGGGATACT